GAAGAGCTCAGCAGTGGGGGTGTGGGACAGGGGAAAGTTATATACACATACACATCTCAGTGGGAATTTTACTGTCATTAGTCAGCTGGACTGATGTCAGGCACTAGTTGGCACTGGGCTCTTTGAGGGTACAGAGTGAGATCTTGCAGCACACCAATAAGAAGCTTGCTGAAGACTACACCCACAACCACCCTGGCAACATTCTTAAATTTAGGGCGTTGCCAAATCCTGCGCATTGCCTATAGCCATTTACATCTCTGTGCAGGATTCTTAAATAGCAAACTATTTGCAAAGCCAGACAGGAACAAGAGGAGGTATTGAATAAAGGAAGCTGAATCAGAAGAACATGTTTTTACACAGTACTGACCCCTGAACCTGATTTTCCTTTCCTTCCTCTCACCTGCAGAGCAGGCAGGATACAGTTCTGCTGTTGGAAGTTCTCCAGTACAAAGTAACTCTCAAGCTGCACACGTCAAGTCGAGCTTTGAACCCACCTTGTGCAATGCAGATCAAACTCGCTGCAATTCTAAGGACAAGTTGCAGTGGGAGGCATACATGACAGCAGCACTTGTGGGAAGAGAATTTAAAAAGGGGGGGGGGGGCAAATGTATATTTTCACATCCATGTTCAAGCTCTTTTCCGAGTCAAATCCTCAGTTGGTGTAAACCAGCGTATAGCTTTGAGGCACTTACCTGATTTGCCCCAGCAGAAGGTCTTACTGCTTAGCCTTCAGCAATGAAATGAGCAGAGAGAAATGTCCCAGCTGGCCAGGAGAGTGGTGCTGCAGGGACATGAGGCCCTACTGTTTTCATGTTTCCATAATTTAATATTCTTCCCCTCTGGCATCACCAGTCAGCGCTCACATGGGGATCATTAGCAAAGTAAAAGCCTTGGGGATGGACCATCAGCAGCAAAGACAATTATGTGAGCCTGCCTGAGGCCTGCCTTGTAACTTAGTTAATGATCCATTAAAATAAAGAAGATTACTGTTTTCTCACATATCTGATGGACAGCTATGCTGGGAAAACTGCAAAACAAACTTTCCAGAAGGCAGCAGAAAGATGGGGGGGGGGACCCAAAAACATGCCAAAACACAAGCTACAAGGGCCTTCCTCCTTCCCCATTGAAGGATGCCCAGGGGTTGCTACTTTAATCTTGTGGGACCACTAAATGGGTTAAATGTGCCCTGTCACATGCAGATTGCTCTACGCTATGTTATCAATGCGTCTAGACCTAAAGCTAGACCCTCTTGACTTGCCTTCCTTCTCCACCAGATTTAATTAGTGGTTTTAGCAAAGGCCCAGGAACAAGAGACCAAATCCTTGGCCAACACAAGTCACAGTGGCAGGACAACAGGTGGTGGCAGAACACTGACAGTGCCCTCATCCCCTTGCTTTATTCATGACAAGTTCGGATGTTTTTGATGTTTCGGGCATTGTGCAAGACTGTCTGTCTGCTAGGTTAGACCAGAGGTTAGCAACCTATAGCTCAGAGGCATTGGATCTGGCCCACTGGCTGCAGGTGCTCTCCCCATGCTGCCTACCACCCTCCAGGCTCTGACCCAAGGCAAGTCATAGCTGGAAAAATGTTGCCTACTACTGTGTTAGACAAACACTTGGCTAGGATGGTTCAGATAGGGATCATTCTGCAGTAGGTAGAGGTTGAAGAGACTTCTTGGGGTCTCTTCCAGCCCTACTTTTCTCTTATATGAACACAGCCCACAGGTGTCGATGGAGTTCTGTCAGTTTACATCAAGATAGAATCCAATCCCTACATTTTGTACAAAAGTACAGACCTTTGAAATGGGACTAGAGCATATACCGGACTTCAAGCATCCTTGTACTCTACCCACATGAAGAGTTCTGCTGCAGTCAATTCATACATGAGGCCCTGCCACAGCAGGGATGTCCCATCCATTACCACAGTACATGAAGGGGACCTAAATGTACAACTCCTAGGCTGAAGACCTAAGTGAGGAGGATCAGGCCCCTGTGAATAGGCCTTTATGAATGTGAACAGAATGAGAATATGTAAAACTGCACAGCTTCCTGCCCCTCTCCTCAACAGCCTTGTTATTATGTAGACAGAAAGAACCCAGGCTCACATTAGCTAGTCCTCTTTTCAATACCATACGATAGGCCATAGTCAGTGCTGTACTGAGTGGCCATGAACTTAAAATGGACCTCTTCCCTGCTTACACCACAGCTAATTTGGTCCTGAGAGACAGTCAAACCAAGGCTTTAGGGACATGGTTTCCATTTCCTCGAGTGACCACAATCACCCTCCTAATCCAGTGCATCCAAGATCCACGCATAGCCAGCTGGCAACGGCTTGACATTTACAAGATTCAAAAAGCTTATCGGACCACTTTCCATTTACTGTCTAAACAACTTGCCCTACCTCTCCTTTCATACCTCAAGGTCAGCTCTTATGATAGTTCCCTGCATCGCTGCTCCAATGAAAGCACTCTCCTCTTACACAAAATTAGCCTCAAAGATTTCTCTTTTAGTCTTCAGAGAAACCACTGGAGCTACAATATCCTAAAAGGTGCAGCAAGTTAAAAGTCTGGGATCGTGAAAGGAATGGACTGTGTTCTCTTGCATATTTCCTTAGGACCATATTCTTGCTGGTTTCCTTCTCTTCCCAAGTAGGATATTTCCCTGTCATTTATGTTGCGTGGTACTTCAGTACTAAGGTTTAGGGCACAGGCACAAACTAGCCATGATGAACTCCATGTTCCATTAAAGAAAGTAGATGGCTAGCATTAAATGCTTCTGTATTTGAATGCATGGCTGTACCTACAGATTCCGCCCCCCCCCCCGCAAGTCTGCTATGTAAGCTATACCCAACCACAGGCATTTCCACCCCCCTCCATGCAGAGGTCATTAGAAAAGAGTCTGCTATAGCAGAACAGGGGGTTACATCTTGGCCCCATTGATGTTTTAGGGGGGAGTCTGCCATCAATTTTAGTGGGGCAGGATTTCATCCCTGTTCTGCAAGCAACAGAAGCTTTTAGATCAAGAGCTCATAGTACTTACAGATGGCCCAACCTAGCAGGATTGCTGGAGATAAACAAATACAATATTATGCAAGTGCTCAAGTTCATGGGATGCTCTGCTCCTGCCCCATGCCTCACTGGGATAGGGAGTTTGCCTGGTCTCAGCTACATAACATTTTGGTTCAAGCACTCAAGCTCCAATGCAGAATGCCGGAGGTGCCTCGCACCTTGTACTCCCACTGACGTCTGTTCCCTTCAGCGTATCAAGGAAGATGTGCACATACAATGGATCGAGACACCCTAGATCAGGATTCATTCTTGGCTTGGTGGGTTATGAGGCTGTGATTGAGGCAAACAAACACAAACCACCCTTAAAAGCTCCCACACACTTACAGTTTGCCTTCTCCGGTAAGTGAAGTTCTTCCATAGCAGCAACCCCAGCTGTGTCCAGAAAGCCATCTTTCTTCAGCAGAGTGCCACAGCCCCCTTCGTGCAACAACAGCACACAGAAGGGACACTGTGGCTGATCATGAACTGGAGAACGAGAGAGGAAAAGCCTCCGTTAGCCAGGAAAAAAAGCAATGAACAAGGGCCACATTCTGCTCATTTACACTGACAATCCCACAGAATCCACTGCTATTGTCAACTGCTGCAGGCTGGCTGGGGGGAGAAAACAGGGTGGGAAGTAAGTGTTAGGGAGGAGGATGTGGAATCCTGCTAATTCCAACAGATGTAAACAAGTTCTGACTTCGACCCGAAGTATCTATTACCTCAAGGTTCCTACGCTTAGTAGGATGATGTCCCTGGGAGAACAATTTTCCCCAATTTTTCCCCTGATCAACAAGCTTGCAGACACGGAAACTAGGAAACAAGACTGCTCTAGTCACAGCAAAGCTGCTTGGAAGGTCCTTTGATTTGTATGCAACCCTGTGGTGCTCCTAGTAGCAGCTTTGTTTTGTTTTAGTGCTGCCTTCAACATAGGTTTTAATAGCCGAGCACTGGCATTGAGATAGGCATGCCACTCCTCCCAAGCTCCAATTTGTGGCAGGCAACAATGCCACTTCCAACGGAAATGCTAGGCAGGGGTCAATGGAAGGAGACACCCATCTTGCTGAACACAGTAAAACTGACAGACTTTTGCCCTGCCCATTTAGCTTCCAAAAGCAGGGAGGTAGTTGGCCATGTTGGTCTGAAGTCAGACTGAAGGCAGGGCAGAGATGCACCTTAACCAAGTCAGAGATGCAGAAGCTTTTGTGAGCCTGGATCCACTCCATCAGATGCTGAATTCTTGGCACAGAAGTGGTGACAACAGTTTTGTTTTCTAGGCCAGGACCTGGCAATTTACAACCCACAGGTTGGATCTGGCCCACCAAGTGATTCCGTCCAGCCTGCAAAGCCAGGATGTCAGCAATAACTCAGCACTGGCAGAAAATCTGCAGCAATTTGGCAGCGCAGAAGCAGTATCTGTTTTGGTGGCAAGCTGGTGGTGGAGGAGAAGCAGCTGCAGCCAAGTTGCCAGTCTTCAGTGCAAGCTGCAGTAATTTGGCTCACCACTCCCAAAAGGCTACCAACCCCTATTCTAGGCTCGTTGGCATAACAGGTTCTGGTTGGCAGTATTGCATATGCATCTTGCCCAAGACAAGTGACGATGAAGAGGGCAGGACAACCCAGGATCAGGTTCTCGTGCATTTGTTCAGCCAGTACTGCCTTAATAATCCAGAAGGGATTGATCTACATAAGGATACTCAGGAAAATTAAGCCACATTCATCAAAGGTGTAACTTCAAAAACCAAGTCACTACACAGTGTAAAAGCCTTGTGTGGATAGTCTCATTCAAGACTAAAGTGGCCCTAAGATCAATTTAGTTTATTCAGTAAAATAAGATAAATCAAATTTCCATAAGGCCCCTCAAATTACCATAAGGCTGCCTATACAGGGATTTAATACATCCTAGTTAGCCCACTTTTCAAGTTAATTCAGATTAAAACTTCCCAAGGGTCCACCTATAGATAGGGACATAAAAACTGCAAAACTGTGAATTGGTTTATGGAAACAGTGAATTTGGTAGGCCTCCCATAGAAAAAAAATCCCCATCCCTGCAAAAAGCAGGAAAACAGCAGCGGGGGTGGGGGTGGGGCTGCAAACAGAAAATGGCAGCAAACCCTGGTGCCCTGGAGCACAGGGGGAGATTGAGAGGTGGCCACCTGTTAATCTCCAGGTAGGGGCAGGACATCCAGATCCCCTACCCCAAAAGTGTAGGGAAGGGAGGGGGATGAGGCCACTTCACTTTGCAGCAAAAAAAAAAAAGTAGTGCCTGATGCTATACCGGGACCATGAAATAGAGGCCACCTCCATGAATTAGGTAGGTTCCTATCTGTAGACAAGCCCCATGTTTATAAGAGGGGTATTGCGTTTATCAAACTCCTACCTAACTGATTATCCAAACACACCGAAATACAACTGCCCTCCATAACATCTGTTAAACTGGGAACATGTATGCTTTTCATAGGTGTCTGCCATGCCAATGTCTCAGTACTGTGACTGCAAATTGCATGCCTATTTGCAAGCTACACGTTTCCAAAGAGCACAGGCATGGTGCAAACAACCTCCTTGGGCGAGAACCTTCTCTAGGCTATCACGCAGGAGGCCAGAGCGCACATGGTCACCATGGTTCTTTCTGGCCTTAAAGTCTCAGGATTAATGAACATGTGGCTCAATCAACTCTCGAAATGTCATCACAGGCTAGGTTTCATTCCTACAAAGCAAAACATCCCAGGGACATTTAGATTCTAAGCATTCCCTACCTCTCGTGCAGAGTCACCCATCCCCTCCCTACAGAATCAACTACAGCCCTACTTTGTCATAGCAAGGTCACACTGCAGCTTTGCAGCAAATCAGCATTAAATATTCCCAGCTGTAACTAAACGTAACCCAGACAAGAAATGGAATATGAGGTGTTCAGCTCTCTATTCCCAGTCACCCACACATCTCTGCTGGTGTTGTGGGGGGTGGAAGGAGTTGACAGCATTTCTTTATTATACACTTCAGCACCCATGCTTGATCATTACTCACTGCGCTTTAATACGACAGACTAAATCTGATTGCTACCTGATTACAAAGAAGTGCCTCCAGGAAAGCAGAGCACCCATGCAATTAGACAAACATTTTCAAAACACTGGCTGCATGGCCACTGCCTGTGGGTCATGAGTCAGGCCTCCTCCCTCCTGTGTTACCACTTAAGTCAAAAAATAATTCCATCCCTTCTTCCACAGGGACTGATCCTGCACCCATTAAAGCCAAATTTACCTCATATTTCTTTGCTGAAGTCCCTGTGGCCCTTGTAACAAGGCACAGTAGAAACCAGAGCTGTAATTTACAGGATGTTCCAGGTGATGGCTAACTGCTAGGTAGCTGGCTTAATCCACAGGAACAGAAAGCCAAAAGGTGTGTCCCACACCACTGCAAGCAGCCTGTGAGGCCCAGGTAATAATTCCTCATGCAGGGCAATCTACTTGCTAGAGCCTAGCTGCATGTCACAGACGAAATGCAATTGTGCTGGCCTTGGAGACTAGACGAATTTGCCTGGAGGGAAGGTAGAGATGCAACAAAGGCTGACTTCATTAGGGACTTTAACTGAAGAGTGGAAATATCCAGCTCAAGGACAGGTATGGCCACTCGCTCCCAAACAAAGAGGGGACACAGCCTGGCCCTGATAGAACCCCAGAGTACCAAGCCAGGTGTGCAGTATACCCACTTCCATCCCTCTGAACCATCTACCTACTGCTGAGAGCTACATACAGAGATCCTGCTGGAATGCCCATCACAAATGTCACCACAGATTGGGCAACACAGGGCATATATTGGAGCTGCTCCAATATGCTGTAATTACAGTGTGTCAGAGCAGACTTGATTAAGTCTACTGGAGCATGGTAATTACCATGCTCCAGCAGATTCTAGCGCCACGTGCATCAGCATCCCCACACTGAAACATGGCACAGCAGGGGCACTTTAAACTTAAAAAAAAAAAAGCTTAAGTTTTCTCCATGCAAGCTGAATTTTACAGCTCTGTGGGGAAGTTCAATGCCAAGAGAAGTCAGCCAGTTTCAGTCATGGATCATATGCCTCACCCCATTAAAGTAAAAGAAAGCACTTCGTGAACCATGATGTGTGCCGAATGACCATTTCCAAAATGCACAAAACGTATAAAAAGTAAGAGTGAAGGTCTAAAACCAAAGTTTGCTCACATTTGCTATTATGGGCCATATTCTCTACTGGTATCATTTGATATTGTTACACCATACGATCTAACCCTGCCAATTTATAGCATGCCAGCTTGTTTTTATATAGCACTTATAGCCTGACAAAATAGCAAGAAGCATCTTTATCCTCACCAAGAAGTGAGGTATAATCAAGCCTCCAGGACAGAACCAGATATATGCTTAGCACCAAGCCCAGTAATTACTACTGCATGCAAGTCCTGTAGTATGTCCAGCCATTCCCAGGAAGCAAGCATTTCCAGGAATGGGCCAAAAGGTAGCACACACCATGAGAAGATTCTGTGAGGTGTCCAAATGGGTGTGTGCACACACAAGTGGGTTTAATTTTCTAGCTCTGTCACAAGCTTCCTGTATATGCCTCTCAGGGCCTTGGCTCCTCCCCATAAAAAGTTGGACAGCAGGTAAGGCAATGTGGCACCTTAGAGACTCACTGGTAGAGAGGGGCTTAAGCTTTTGCAAGCAGCTAACTTGCAGTCACATGTTATGATGTGTTGCAACCAAAGCAAGCTGTGGCTTATGAAAGTTCATGCCTCTCTGAACTAGTCAGGTCTCAAAGATGCCATCTTGCCCCACCTTCTGCCCAACTTCTTAAAATCCTCAGTAGAAGAGGTGGTATGCTTTTACGGACAGAGACCAACTGGAACAATGTATTTGTACTGTACCTAGCATAAAAAGGTCCTGATCAGTAGCGACTCCTCCCTCCTCCATGAAGTGGCATTATGTAGCAGCAATCAATCAATGTGAATAACAGCATGTGGGGCAGGGGAAAATGCACCCTGCTACGAAGGTGCAGACACACACCAGGTTTGGAATCCATCCAGGAGCCCCATTACTGAAGAGAATCCAGAGAACAAAACTTTGCTTACCATAAAGCTAACACCAGCTGCTTGTTACTACCTACAGCTGGCTTACTGGTTCC